CAGCTAAGACATGAAGAATACAGAAATAGATTCCGACACCTCAGTGAGAAAGCTGTAAATACTTATGGATGCACAGGGACATGGTGTGTTGGAGAATGGAGTTATAAATTAATGTACTGTGAAATTAGAATTCTAAATAGAAATATCCAAAGCAATAATCAAAATAAATAAACCAATTAATATTTTGGAGACATGCTTGTGCTCAATAGGCTGAAGACCTGTAGAAGATAAAATCATTTATTTCCTACCTATTTCAGGATTTGGGGCTGAAGCCACTGTAACAGCAGACTGATGAGTGAGGGTAAAACATGCACATTTATTTAGTCACAACTGGTACATGACCAAAGTGACTTTAAAAGAAAATGAACCACCAAAGTATCTGGGAAACATGCATTTTTCTTGCTAGGCTTGATGAAGACGAAGATAGACATAAGTGAGGACTGCATGATCATGCTCCATGGAGTGGTAATAACCTAGGGAGAAATACAAAGTCTGTGAGTTCATTCTCCTCTCCGTGTCTTTAGAGATAGGAAGCCCTGTCCTTGCAGCATCGGGAAGGCATCTCAGGAATGAGAACCTTATCATTCTCTTAAGTAAGAAGCACAGAGCATATGACTCACCCAGGCAGGGCCCAGGAATGAGTCTTTGATCCTCTTCGGGGAATAAGGGTAGAAGAAATGACTTCCCGAGGATATTTGTCAGGGTCCCACCACGTGTGAAGAAAACATGTTGACAGTCCGTAAGCACAGTGAAGAACACCATAGGAAATTAACTGATTATAATGCACCCAAATTACTCAAGATTTTGCACAATGTGTGTTTCAGGGTCACATTTCCTTGATTTTATAATTGGTGGATTTTTTTATTTTTTTTGAATTTATTTGTATATTTTCCGTGTACAGTATATTTACATTTATTATTGACATCTTGTACTTTTACATGACAGGTCTTGGATCTCATTTTTTCCCTTTGTCACTGTCCTCCCCTCACCCCTTCTCCCTTCCCTATAATTGGTGTTTTATAGGAGCTGGAACAGCCTTTTCCCCACAGTAATTGGCCTGAAGAAGTCAGAAAATCAGATGACACAGAACTAGTGACTTAGCTTATGTATAACCTAAAAACATGCAAAAGAATTGCATCTGGACTGTGACAAAACAGTGAAAGTATTTCCAAGGTCACTGAGCTGTGAGGGAGATTCTGACGTGAAACAACATCCATCTGCTATCAAATGTTCTTTGTGTGTTCATAGCTTCCTCCTCCCTCATCACCTAGTAAAGGCTTAGCCTTCCCTGCATCTCCACAGTTCAAGTTCAGGTCCTTGGGGACACAATAGGGAACTGTGCACCAGGTCGACCCCTCCCAGCCCAAGGAACTTCTTGTCCCTGCTCTGTGTTCATGAAAAGTGCAATTTCTTTTGTTCCCAGTGAATTGTGCCATTCATCGAGGAAAGCGCTATCTTAGTATTCTTACCTCAGTGGACCCATCATATTTCTTTACACTCAGAAATACAGTAGGTATGAATAAATAAAAAGCAACACATTAATAAAAATGTGGTATTTCTTCACAATGGAAAACCAGTCTGCTGTAAAGAAGCATAAATTTGAACCATCAGTATAACAATCTATTTTCCTTATGCCCATATGTCCATAACATTAAGTGAGAGAAATCAGATAAAAAGGTTTAATATTGCATGTTTCTCTCATTTGAGAAATGCAAAATAAAAATGAATTAAAATAAACAACAGTAGATAATACCACACAGGAAAGCAGACTATTGCAGACGGAGGGAGGTCAGGAGCTTCCTCACTCTCCACAATGTCTGGGTGCCCCTGAGGTTCCCCTCTCTACGTGGCTCTACTCTTTCTCTCTTCTCCCTCACATCCCCAGGACTGCAGTCTGTGACTCCTGTCAGAAAGTTCTATGCTCCTGGACTTAGGGGCTCTTCTGGGTTCTACTTAGGGATGGAGCTTTCCTTATTGATCCTGACTCAGGAGCAGTGATTAGGATGCCCAGAGATGCAGATGTCTGTGGTGTTCTGGGGACCATAGGGAGAAGCAGTGCCTGTTGCAGAGGTGCTGGCCTACCCTTTCCCCCATTATCTCTGGCTGTAACCATGAATACCTGTCCCCTATCTGCGGTCACCTCCCAGGTGAGTTTCCTCATCCAAAGGGGGAGATTGTGCAGGGAGCAGGCTTCTGACTTTGGCCTCACAAGCTGCAGCTTATGTCAGCCTACTGTATTAGGATACCATTATTTGTCTGAATACAAGTTTTCCTTGTATAGAGTATGATATATTGAGGGTTTAAGTCACTTTTTAAATATCCATTTGGACAGATTTGGTTTAAATTGGACTTCCGCAAAAAAAATGTAATAAAGCAATGAACATAATTTATTATAACTTTTTATACATTTTACCCATTAAATGAATGGAAATCTCCTTTTCATGTCACTCATGAACAATGTGAAGAATTTTTTGAGTTTTCCAAATCAGAAAATGAGTATAAGTATGTGTTGGCAGCCTCTTAATCCATTCTACTTAGATCATGGAAAGTGTAAGAGTTGCTATTATGTTTTACTTTTCCCCTATTTTGAGTTGTCATCCTCCAAACCAGTGAAACAACTCCTCACGGGCTCCTTGCAGTGGGTGCCTGGCAGCCTGTTGTGTCCATGAGGTTTAGATTCCAGCTGATCTATGGCTCTGTCCATGACACTGAACTAGTAGAAGAGATCTGAGTGACACTGACTTCTGTTCCCTAGTGTGCACCTGTGTCCCCATAAGGTACTTTGTGGTCAGTTGTGAGGAGAGAAGAATATGTGCAGGGGAACAGATGGTTCTACACATTACGTGGGATTCACTGCAGGAGGACAGGAGTAGAACTGCCCACATTTAGAGGATAAAAGTGTAGAAGAGTGGTGAAGGACAATCTTCATGTACAAAACACCTTGGGCTGTGCACCTTTGAAACATGTTACTTGAAAGAAAATAATTTCACATCTTTGACTGTATAGATGTGTGAATGTACGCCACTTCATTGGTCCTAGGCAGGCTTGCGGCAAGAGGGTCAGCAACTTGACAGAAACATGACTGGAAATGGGAAATAGACATGGGGGAGAATTGTATGTGGAAACATCTCCTTATGTTTGAGGAATGTCAAAATATTTGTGTAACACATAAATGTTCATGAGAAAGTAATGTCAGAAGAATGAGATTTTAAATAGTATGATATAAAAAAATCCCATTCAGACTACACTACGATTGCCCCAGTGGGATCCTGAACCAAGTGCTCATGGTGACAGAGGTGAAGTTTATGAGTGGGCTCAGAAACACTGCCTTGCACTCCCCAATGCGGACCTGGCTACAGCCACTGCTGAGTGTCTCACCTTCTAGGAGCAAAGTCCATCCCTGCACACTGGTATCACACCATTTCCCATGGTGCTCTACCTGCACCCTGATGACAAATGTTCATATTTGACTGGTCTCATCATGAGTGTGGTGACTCTTTGTCCTTAGAGGAATACACACATCCTGGTCATGGATTGAGTTTCCTTGCACGTTGTTATTGTTCCATAACTAGCATCTTTTTGCTTAGAGAATGATGCATCCACCATCAGATCGTTTTTGCCTAGTGTGGCTTCTTAGCAAAGAGTGCTCTTCAAAGCTGAGCAAGATGGCAATGGGCTCCCGCTCTTGGAATTCTCCAGTTGTGACTGGTGATCTAACATTCAGATGCAGGTGAATGAAAGGCTCTTTTGAAGATAATCGCAGTGCTGCTATGCAGCAATACCTGTGGCTAAGTTACACGTAATTCTATAAAAGTTCTTAATCAGTACCACCATCTGGAAGTCCGTTTCCCACACTGTGATACATGTGTGCAGGTTTCTATCAGTGAAAATTGGAATGGTAGCACTGACCATTACTCTGAAGGACCCACTAGTGATATATTTACTTTTTTGTTTCTGTGACCCTTTGCTCTGCTAAACTAGAAGTCAGTTCCACAAAGGGAAAAGTTTTGCTAATGTAGCATCAAAGAGTCTTTTGCAATGCAGTCTGAATACTTCTTCTTATGATTTGAGGCTCTTCATGCACCTGAGTCCTCAGGTAAGACAAGGAGGTATAGTGCTAATGGGGTGAGTGGTCCAGAGTGCCAAGGAGAAATTGCATTAGTGCTCCAAAATGGAATGAGGAGCAGTAAGTTTGGAATGCAGAAAATTCCTTAGGTCATCTGCTGGTAATATCATGTCTTGTTATTAAGGTTAGATAAGAACTTTAACAAGCCAGTCCAGAAACAATGAGAACTTGCCCAAACACCTCAGAAATAAAGGCATGGATTATGAGTCCCTGTAATGAACTCTGAATACTGTGGTACCTCCTAAATCATATATATATAAAATCTTCGGCAGGGGCCAGGGATTTACTTCAGCGGTTCAGTGGCCTGCCTTGCAAGCGCAAGGACCAGAGTTCAATCTCCGGTACCACACATACACACACACACACACACACACACACAAAATCTTTGGGACTTATATACTATACAGCAGAGTAATAATTGAGTTAATATCAGTTGTTAAATGTCATTATATGTGCATTATGAGTAGAGTCATGCCATGTGCAGTGAAAGATTCACCAAAGGAAACTCTGGCTCCTCATAGAGGGAAGGAGTTAATGCAATCCCAGTTCCATGAAAATAGCTTTATTATATTAATAGAGTTATAAATTTGGTATTGTGTGTACTGTAAATTAGGTATGGTTTTCAAAGATCTGTCTCCTTAGGAAATCAACATGGGATGTGCCCTGACTGCTAATCATCCCATATCATCTCGACTGGATGAAGCAATATCTAGCAGATTAACCAAGCCCACTCCCGGAACAGCCAGTCACATATTTGAGATATTATGTTATGGAGGCAACCTAACTGGGTAGGACTTAAGGGGATGGTGGGTGGATCTGCCAGTACTTCAGGTCAAATAAAAGGAAGATAAAAAGGAGCTCTGTTGCAGTGTTTTGAAGCTCTGGCTTCCTCAGGTACTCAAGTCAGCCTCATCACCAGGAAACTCCAGGTAGGCTGCAGGCCTTTGATGTTGGAGTGGTGTTGATTTATTAATCCCTCTGTTGTTTCAGTTATAAATTCTTTGGTCAGCAGCTATGAGATTTTCTGGCTCTTCTGCACACAGATAACAACTATGGTCTCTGCTGACTTTGAAATTGTAAGCTTAATGTATATATGTGTGTGTGTATGTGTGTGTTTGTGTGTGCGTGTGTGTGTGTGAATTCTTCATCAACAGGATTATTGTTAATTATGCTGATCTTATAGGAATCTCTAAATGGTACGTGGAACTTTTGAGTTCACAGAAAATGACTTTTGTTACTTTCCTCCAGAGAGACTTGGGACTGAGAAGGCAAATTGAGTACAAGCTAGCTCCAGGTTGTCCTTCTGTATCCTTGATAATGGTAGAAACTCTTGGCTAGAATTTTGGTTTACTACATTATGTGCTACGCCTCAGTGAGCACATGTGTTTATCTGTGTTTGTGTTGTCCCTGAAAGCATACTATATCTTAGTCCCCAGCCCCTGCTTTGTCTCCTAGAAGCAAGAATCTCTCTATGTGTATCTTGACTGTGGACTAAATAATTTTATACATTTCTGTGCAATTGCTCCATGTTTTTAAAAAATCTGTGTACTAGGGATAGTAATAAAGTTTTCCCTATATGTGAAAGGACAAAGTAAGAAAGAGATGAAAATACATGTTGGGAAACAAGGTACACAGATATTTCAGTTTAAAAATGAGAAGCTAAAAAGTATAAATGCAATTAAAGTATAGAAATTAAATCACCATATATTAGAGAAAATTATATTTGTCTAATTTTTTATTTTATAAGTCATGATATTTAACACACAAACATATTTAAACTTATCTATCATTTCTGAACGATAAATTTATAATGATAATAAGAGAGTATTTCAAGAATTGCAATGGCATTTATTTAAGATACTGCACAGAAATTACAGTAAATTGAAAGTAAATGACTTTAAATTTTATTAGAGAAAATTATATTTGTCTAATTTTTTATTTTATAAGTCATGATATTTAACACACAAACATATTTAAACTTATCTATCATTTCTGAACGATAAATTTATAATGATAATAAGAGAGTATTTCAAGAATTGCAATGGCATTTATTTAAGATACTGCACAGAAATTACAGTAAATTGAAAGTAAATGACTTTAAATTTTGAAAATTGGGCAACACACTGGTTTCCAAGATTACCTTCATCTTCTCTTTCATTTCCATTTGGGCTAGTTCATAAAAGCCCTTTATTTCTGGCCAATATATCTTCCTGAGTGTGAGTAAGAAATAAAAGAAACAGGGGTGGGGATTTAACTCAGTTGTGCCGCTGCCTGCCTCACAAGCACATGGACCCAAGTTCAATTCCAGGCACCAAAAAAGGAAAAAAGAGGGAAATAAATGAAAGATAAGTTTTGTATGGAGTTATGAGAGTAATAATAATGATGGCAAAAGCTTGAGGGAGAAATAAAGAAAATGCCTGATTAAATGTATTCATAAAAATTTCAAATGTTCGGAAACTGACTTCTGACCTTGCACTTGATGAAGCTGGTCCTTCTCTGGTGAAGTGAGCTTCCCATCTTCTTCATCACCATGGACATCAAGGGGAAAGGTACGTGCAGCAACTCAGGGAGTTGTTGGCTTCGTTGACACTCTTTTGTGAGTTACTAATAAATAAATGTAGCTAATATCAATAAGCTTCAGATTCATAGGTGTAGAAGAAATATCATGATTTATCTGTGATGGAATTCCACAGGGTTTAATAGAATGATTCAGTCATCATATTAATTTTTCTATCAAGTGCTGGACCATCCTAGCTTTAGACATGTGGAAAGAGCTAAAGATCTTCTGCAGTGTATTATTGGGGGTCATGAAGTATGGGCAGGGTGCTATATTTAATGGAGAGAGGACAGGTGTTGGTAAGCACTGTCCAATGCATGGGATAGATGTCTTAACAAGAGCGTAGGTTGCACAGAAAGGCACAAGGCTGAGTTTGAGCTACTCTGGACCACAAGAGCCAATTGGTCCAATTTGTCTCATCTCTAGAAGTTCAGAATTGAACTTTTCTGGTTTCAGTATTATGTGATTTGGCCAAGTTGAGTCACCTTAGCAAACTTCAATTTTGAGCTCACAATGCAGGACTAGTGGCCATGTTCATCCTATGGTACATTCTTAGTTTCATTCAAGACAATGCCTTTTAGAAATGAGAAGGCTAATGTTAAATAATTGCTTTTGCTTCATTAGAAATTTTGTGTGAAAAGTAGATTAGTAACAAGTATACATTTTGTATAATATAAGCAAAAATATCATTTGTGTATTTTATCATATCACACTGTAAAAATGAATACAATGATAAAGTTGAAGATAACTGCATTTACAGTTAAAGAATATTTATCTACTTATGAGTTTCTCAATAATCTTATTAATTTTTTTATCTAGAAAGCATATTTCCTTAACATATGCATATAAAATATTCAATTAAAATTCTATTATGGTAGATTGTATAAAGTAAATTTTTGGATTCAATATGATTTTAGAAAAGTATATCACTATCAAGTAAATCATATCACATTTTTTCAAATTGCAACTAAAGCATTGTTACATGATATAGTGTAATATTAATTATATTCAATTTGTTAGCTAGTTTTCATTTATTTTAAAAAATATTTATCTAGTTTTATATTGGATATTTTTGCTTGTATTTATCAAAGTTTCTATTGTGAAACATTTTTTTTTTTTTTTTTTTAATCCAGTGATCACATTAGGGACCTTGTGCTGTGAGGCAGGTGGTGGAATCTCTGAGCCAAATTTCCAGCCCTGAACTTATTCTATTAATGCAATCTTATCTCAAAAACTCTTTGGGAGTACTCCCACTGAAGATAAAATGTGATTTTTAGTTTTTAAACTACTCACTTTTATTTTTATATTGTGAATGTGAATCATTGCTAGTATCTTTATTATTATTAGGCTTGGATCTTTCCATCCACTGGAAGAGCAAATTGACTAAATCACCTCTAATCATTCACAAAGATTTTGAAAGTGATATTTTTAGAACAGAGAAAGTAGGTCCGGTCTAGCCTCTGAGGGCCCCGTCACTGCTCTGCATAATGCAAATGTTTTCCTTCTGGAGATTGGCAGTAAGCTCTGCACACACTGTGCTCCAGGACCACAAATGTGGTCCCTGCTGCCCAGACCAGACTGACAGCCCGCAGGTGTGCAGGAGGTGAGGAGGTGAAGGGTACAAACTACAGCGCGGTTGCTCTGCCTCTTCCTCTGCTAATGGTAGGACTCGGGAATATCATTTGCCTCTTCTAAATCTTGTGTTTCAATACACATGGCGATTGTTATGAAGCCTCAGTCAATTGGTGAGTATAATAAATCTCAAACTTGGAAAACTATGTAATGATATTGGCCAAGTGCCAGGCAATTGCATAGAGGAAGATCCAGTTCATGGCATTTTTCTTATGACAGGATTTTCCTCATACCCAGTATCAGCAACCTTGCAGCCCTATTTATTCTTGGCAAGCAAGAAGATGAAACCTCCAGATAAAATGTGGTGTTCTCATATATCTGTTTAAGATGCTCATATCTATGAGTGATTTAAAAATTACAGACTCCTGGAGAATCTCACTGCTGATCAGCTGGATAAATTCTGAAGATATTAGTTAATTAATTAAATTTTTTGGTACCTGGGATCAAACTCAGGACCTTGTGCTTGAAACAGAGGTGGTGGCACCACTGAGCTAAATCTCCAGCCCAACATTAATCTATTTTAAGAGAATGCTTTAAAAGTCTTGAATCAAATTGAATTCAATATCCAAGTGTTTGCCAAGTACAGAAGCCTTTGTCTGTATAGTATGAAAGTCCAGGAGACATCTTCTTCTCAGAATGTGAAAATACCCCTCACATACAGGCCCACAGTAGAAACTGTTGGTTCTTCCTTACTTGAGCATTTACAGCACCAAGTCATGCCTTGAAGGCAGTAGAGATAGATGAGGCTTCCCCAGAAGAATGGCTAATGATGACCTCACCAAATGGATCAACCTTGATGATGTGGTTTTGTTTCAGCAGAGCTCCTCCTCGGGCTGCTGGTCTCAAGCCTGCTCCTGTGCCAGAATGGGGCCTCTGGTAGAACTTGTGTTCCTGGGTCCAAATGCCACCTGATGCTCCAGGAACTGTATCAGAATGCAGTCTATTTGTCTCATAGCATGTATTTCTATGCTTTAGACCTGTTCTTCCAACTGGTAAGCATCTTATATTTACATCTTCCTAAATGGAGAAATCTCACTAAGGTTGGACCTAAAATACAGTTTGAACATGAAAAATTCAGCAGACAAATATCTCATAAAATAATAATATGAATATAATGGTGTCAGTCAATAATCTTGGAAGTGAAGGGAGGGAATCTTTTATAAAATTTTCATTGCAAAGAAAATAATCATTAAAAAGATCAGTTAGTACATGTAAGTTTAACCTTCTAAGCACTTGCCATATCACTTTTAAGCAGGGCTGAGGACCAGCACTGATTTCTTGCTCTTGCACAACAGGCTGCTCTACAGGCGTCCTTCACTGAATGCACTGCAGATACCTGCGATGCCAGAGGGGTTTTGCAGTGCATTGGGTGGACAGAGTAGAGTTCATTAAACTGAACTCTCATAGAGGAAAGATACACCTAATTACGTGAACAATGTCCTCTCTTCTAGGTGAGACAGTAGAGTGGGGTTTATAGCAGCCAAGGACTCCATAGGTCACGTGGCCCAGCTTTTGTGACACACACAGTTATTCATACAGTTCTTGTTGCCCCCCATTTTGAAGTTGCCATATTGTGTCTCCAAATCATCCTATCGATGATTTTAAATCTTCACTAATTTGGCTTAATGGTGCTCACTCAATTTCTCTTTGCTTTTCATCTCAATGTATTATTGACAATTTCCAGTGGTGTTTTGCTCCATTTTATTCCTTATCTTGTCACATTGAATATCTTGTATTTTGAATTACCTTATCTTGACATTGGATATCTTGTATTTTGAATTTATATGAACCTGGCAATACTCATGTTTATGGATTTAAAAGAATTTTCAGCAACACAATTATTAATCTTTATTTATAGAAAGAATATGACTTTGGATTCAGAGGAAAAAAGAGATTCAATACTTGGATGTAGATGCCTACTCTGGATGGGTTTAGCTCAGATACTAGAGAGAGTGATAATTACAGTTCTTAACAGATGTGTGGTTTTTACAGCTTTTTGGGTTCGCATTTCAAAGTGTGACTCCTAGGGAGGGTGAGTGGACAGAAGCACTGCAAAGAGGCTAAGAGGTGGTGAGTTTAAAATATGAATTGAAAATAGGGAAATTACAGAGCTACTGGAAAACACCATGCTGAATGGTGACTTTCTTCATTCTTCATATTCAGTTTTTATTCAAATCTCACTCTTCAAAAAATTACACATCCACCAATGTATTCATATTTTTAATGAATCCATGTTTTCAAGTTGCATGTCCATACTAATTAAATTGTCTTCAACCTTTTTAGACAGGCATGTATTTGCATCGCCCAGGCTACTTCTCTGCAGCCAAAAAATTATGTCACACAGCTGATATCCTCACTCCAGATGAGCGGCAGGATGCCAAACTGATGCCGGTAAGTCCCTAGCCTGGCTCCACCAGAACAACTCAGGCAGTGACTCCCTCTGCCCTGTGCCAGGTTCTCCCAGGCTCTGTGATCAGCCATAGCCGTAGTCATACCTGTTGTGAAAAGGACGGAAGAGTAAGAACCCAAATGAAAGGACTCTACATATTTGCTGAACTACATATCGAATTTAAGGTTAAGTGAAGATTGTACTAGAATCAGAAATTGGCCACGCAGATCATGTTCCTTTAGCCAATGCCTTGTACCTAGCGTTCAATGTAGTATGCTCCTTGAATCGGAGCAGAACTCTCGTCCGTATCAATCACAGGTTACTGTGACTCCTGCATTTGTGGTGTGTACATCAGTGACCCCTGTCAGATCTACAACTTCTCTGCCAGACTCCCAACACCCTCCTCATCCTTCTCCCTCTGTTTCTGCTTCTCTGATGCCAACTTCCTCACTCTGTATTCATACCCCTGCCTCATTCAATGCCTCAGCTGAACATCAATCCACTATTCCTGACCTGTTCTATGCTGTGTACACTTTCTCAGAGGTGCAACTCTGGTCTCTCTTCTGATAAAAACCATGTCTCCACATTCAGCGTTCATCATTTACATAAGTTGTAATTGTTTGTGGTTAAGACCTGTCTCTTCTGAGTTCCTCATTGCAACAAGATCTTAACATTATTTTAAATAAAGGGAGAAAATTTCACAGGGAAAACAATGTTAAATTGTACCCATTTTAAGTGTCATTACAAAAAATAGCTACTCCCATATTCCATTTTTTATTTATTCTATGCAAACTAATTTGCACTCTTTATTTTATTAAAATGGAAGAACCCTACTGAAACTATAGCACATCCGAATCATCACTGATGCTAACATCATGTTTTTCCATGAGATCATTTAATTTTTTTTCTTTTTATTTCCTCATTGAGTTTATTGGTACTTTTAAAGTATACAGTACAGTTACATTTATCATTTGGATGTTGTTCCTTTACATGACAGATTTTGGTTCTCACTTTTTTGCCATACCCCTGCCTCCCTTCACCAACTCCCCTATTTACAAAGACCTTGTTTTCCTTTTCTCATATTTTTCTTTTCCCTTATTTCCTTACCCTCCCCTCCTCATTTCCTCTACACCAGTGTAAGGGATCCAAACTGTGTAATTGACAATATATGATATAGGAAGAAAAAGGCATATTCAGGTTTTTTTGTTTGTTTGTTTGCTATCCTGCAGCACACTGTATGCTAAATACTTTACTGTATTTTTCTTAAACCTTCTATCATCTGCACAAATATTTTACATACATAAAAAAATAGCAACAATATATACTGCCTCTTCCTCTGAGCAAATCTCCTGTAACTAACCCAGCTTCATGTCACTTATTTTACGATTATTGCTCCAAACTGTCTGAATAGAAAGAAGACATCATGAAGGTGGTGTTCCATTTGGTGGACTCCTGGAATGAGGCCCTGCAGGAGCTGGTCAGGGAAGAGAATCAACCACCGAAATTCCATCGTATTCTCTCAACTAAAGAACAAAAAATATATTTAAAATACCAAGAGCTTAAAAGAGCCATTGTCCAAATAGCCCTCCAGGTAAGCAGTCTTTTGATGCTTCTTTGCATTTTAAGCAACTAGTTTCCACATATGGTGAGAGTGTTTGAAATACCTCACATGGCTAGAATCACAATGAGGGCAATTGTTACAAATTCTACTTTGCTGTTAAACAAATTAATAGCCTTAGCCAAACACAGTGCAGATTGTAATGGAAACAAACTTTAGGGTTCATCTCTTGACATGGGCCAATTCCCTGCACTGTCCCCAGTGTCCCCAAGTCTTGGGTTCTCATGGGGTTGGTGATTAAATATTTTTCAGGAAGGAAAGTCAGAGCAGAGCTTCTGCATCAGAAATGCTATCTTCAGAGTATCTCAGGAAGACCACACAGGAAGTTCGGTCATATTTTCCGTATTCTCCTTACACCAAAGGATTAGAGTGGGAAAGAAAAGAGGAGAAAATCTGAATCATATAGGAAGTTCTGCCCCACACCCTAGCCGAAGTACATAGGAAGCCAAATCACCAGTGTTGTCCCACAAGCACCTGAGTTTAGAGCTTTGCCAAAGAATAGCTGTTTCTATACTGGAATGTTCCTAAGTTTATAGTTCATAGAAATTCATCCTAAGTTTCAGAGTCCTTGATGTTTCTAAATGTATATGTATGTCACAATATTTAAACATCAGAAATAATTTGTCATATCCAGATCGAATTTATTTAGGAAAATTCCTATATTAGTGAGACAGCACATTTGCAACTTTATAATGTTCTCAGAATTATATAAATATATATGATTTGTCAGTCGGGTGTGTTGGTGCATGCCTGTAATCCCAGCATTCAGGAGGCTGAGGCAGGAGGATCACTGTGAGTTTGAGACCAGCATGGGCTACTTAGTGAGTTCCAGGTCAGTCTCAACTATGTAGTGAGACCCTATTTCAGAAAACAAGACAAAACAAAAAAGATAGGTGATTTTGGAAGTAATAACAGAAGCAACTTTATATTTCTTTTTTTTTCCTAAATACCTTGTATAATTTTTGTGGAAAAGTCCTAAAAGAAAAAAGAAAGTGTTAATCAAGCAAGATAGGGAAAAATTACCTTAATTTCAAGTTGTTTGCTTTATTACTGTGAGAACATTTCTTGAGGACACAAATTAATTCTAGAATTCATTGATTTATGTCCCTTGTCCAACAACTAATATATTATGGTACATGTATTAATGTTTTATAGGATACATTGTCTTAGGGTCAAAGATTCAAAAGAAAAAAAAATAACACAAACCTACCTAAACTACAAAGTCGCATTCTTCCAATTTCAATAAAATATATTCTTACTCTGTGGGAAATGTCTCAACAGAACAGGGTCTGCAATTACCACACACTTGTATCTCATCACTCTGGAAATGAGCTGATGCCTTCAGAGGCAGCACAGCGACACTGGGTATCTGGGATCTGAGGATCTCCTAGCTTGCTGAGGCCCAGGGAGGGCACAGGGTCCACTGCTCTCTTCTGTTCTGTGCAGAACTTTCCTGAAGAACAGCCTCCCCCACCCAACACACAGCCCTCTCCATGGGGCTGCTGCCAGCACCCTCCCTCTTATGCGTGCTTCTATAAACTGCTCCCACTACATGCAACTCAAAAGGACACAGCTGCTTCCCATTTGGAAGATACATTTCGGGGTGAAGGGATGCACCTGACATTTTGTCACTTACGACTCAATTGTCACCACCCTCAAACACTAAGTGCAGATTCAAAATCTCTAGAATCCCAGTAGTGATACATTATGCAGAATACATTCAGGTCAAAGCATCAAACAATAAAAACTGAATTACCAGAAGAAAGAATGTACAATTGGAAGAACAGGGACAGTTCTGAGCAAGTGTAGAAGTTTCCTAAGCACCACAGTAGGAGGATGCTCTCCATTGCTCTTTGGGCAAATCCATGTCTACCCTGAAGTAACAAATTTCCAGATCTTCCCCTGACTTCACTTCCAGGAACATAAACCCCTGAGATCACTGCATGTCAGAAAATCAGTACTGTGTTCTGATTTTAGCATTTAGATGAATATTAAGTTCATTACAGTCTGGACATTGAAAAAACATAGTTTGGCTGAAGATTTCAGTTTTCATTACTTTCCAAATCACAATTTAACTTTTAAAGAAACATGGATATACGAATATTAATACTATCATCAAAAGTTACCGTATTTTTATGTCTAGCTTGATCTTGAAGTCTCAGAGGAAGATTTTTCTCCGAATTCGGAGATAGAAAATTTGAAGTCATCTAATGAAAAACAACGTCTGTTTACTGTTTATAACCTGCTACGCTGCTTTGTTGCTGATGCAGAGAAGATTAAATTTTTCTTTTT